ATCCGTCCTGAACTTACTCCATTTGCATTATTTGTCCCATTCTTGGTTTCATTCACACGCTGGACTATCCCAGAAATACAGAGAGGGCCAGCAAAACCCAGTAAGTCAGCCAGGTATCGGAATGTGCTGCTCAGTAGAATCGGTCGCCCAAAAGCTCTGTACATGGCCAGCCATATGGACGGGGTCCGATTCGGACGATCTGCTACTTTCTTCTGAAATAAACACATAAACCAAAGTGAAATATTAGATCAAAATTAATCTTAGCAGCTATGTTTTGCCTAGTTCAAAGGTAGTTTAAAGGGCTAAAAATAAGCATACAACTTTAATGCAAAATGTGTATCCTTGCATTTTATGCAAATAGCAACTGCTGAATTTAGCTTAGTGAAAAGACACAACTTCTCCATCTTCATGTATAGTAGACAATGTTTTAAATTTTAGGAGGCTTGTACAAAATGAAAAATGGCATAACTGCTTATCACGACACATCTATAGTGCTGTTTATAAAGACTTCAAGACCTGCACACATATCATATTACGTCTTTACAGGGGCAGAAAAGGTCTCGGCCAGAGGGCTGGGGTGATAGCTTTGTGTTCTAGTTTATTTCTCCATTGCCGTGACAAAACACTCTGACCAATACCAACTTGGGGAAAAAGGGTTTATTCAGCTTACATCTCCTGGGTCACAGTTCATCTCTGAGGGAGCCCAAGGTAGGAACTCAGTCAGAGCAGGAACCTGGAGACAGGAGCTGGAGCACAGGCCATGGAGAAATGCTGCTTACTGGCTTGCTCTCCCGGCCCCTGCTCAGCTTGCTTTCTTGTACAGTACAGAACAACCTGCCCAGGGGTGGCACCACCCACGGTGGGCTCGGCTGTCCCACATCATTCAACTGTCAAGGAGATGCCCCACAGCCATGACCACAGGCCAGTCCAATGGAGGCAATCCTCCAACTGAAGCTCCCTACCTAGGTGTGTCAAGTTGACAGCTGAAGCATCCGGCACGCTTAGTTAATAAAGTGTTTGCCTTGCAAGCCCAGAAACCTGAGCTCAGCCTCCAGAGTCCACATGAAAAAAAGCCAGGCAGGGAGACAGGCCTGGATAGGATGATCCTTGGAGCTCATTGGCCAGCCCACCTCACCCAACCAATAACCAGGGAGTCCCATGTCCCAGCGAGAGGCTGTTGTTTTAAAAAACAAAACACATATGCCCACACATAGTCACACATACACGCACGCAGCCCACACAGGCACACATACACACATGCACACATACAAACACATGCAATTGTCTTTCATAGTCAATTGCCTGTTTGAATAATTTCATCATTTTCTGAAGTTTATTCACATATGACTCCAGCACAGTAAGTTCAAGGTAATCTATGTGGTAAGAAAGCATCAAGAAACCTAAGATGATTTTAGTTTATATTTTACATCTTTACTTTAGCAGAGATGTTGACAAGTGTTTATGCAACACTTTCCCCAGGAGGAAACCAGAAAAATGACTCAGGTTCATTAGTTGCAACCATTTCCTGCAATAGTAATTTCATAACACAAGCTTCTGATCCACAAGGTCATTTCCATCATTTACCATAAATGTTTTGTTGATTTTGATTTAGAATTGCCAAAAAACTTTTTAACTGATTCATCACACATGACTCTCTATCGGTGTTATGAATATCATTTTAAATGACTCTGATATTTGTAGATGATTGTAATTAAAATACATCTAGTCCTGGGCATCACTTGCTTGATCATTTGGAAGGATACCGCAACAAAGTTAAAATATTCAAGGATGCAGTCTAGGGTGAATAGGCTTAAGATACATTGTATATTTGTATGAAATTGTCAAAGAATAAACAAAAGATATTTAAAAACCAAACTATCCAAAACTTTCTTCTTTAAAAATTTTAAGCGATTATTAATACAAAAGAAAATTTGAAGATATTTACATGAAATAGGAAGTTGACACCCTTCTAATTTCCATAGTTCCCAAGTTTGAACTACAGAATATAAACATTTGTTGATAATTAGTATAAGAGATTTCTTAAAGGTAGTTATTAGTGAATATGACCTTTTTTGCCCATATGTAGCAAAGCTATTCACAAGATGCTTGAAAAGAATAAAAATTCTATGAGTTATTCATATTAATATGATAATGCAAGTTTATTAACAGATCATTGAATATATTATTTTTAAGACTTACTTTATTTTTGTGTGCATCTGTGTGTGTCTCTGTGTGTACACACGAATGTAGGTGTTTTGAGATGCTAGAAGAGGGCTGGAGCTGGAGTTACAGGTGATTATGAGCCATCTGAAGTGGGTGCTAGGAGCCAAACCCAGGTCCTCTGCAAGAGCAACAAGTGCTCTTAACCAGTGAGCCATCTCCCCAGCCCTGAACTGAAGGCTTAGCGTTTACTTGAGCACATATCCTAGAGAAAAGCCAGTGCTCTCACCAAACTTCCTTATGTATTCAGAGAGAACTACTGCAACACCTCTGTGCTTGGTTAGCTCGCCCAGCCTTTCCTCACCGGACGCCAAACTACTGGACAAGGCATAGACGTTATTTAAGCTTTATACTTCTGTATTTAGCGAGCCCATTCTCTGTGATTACAGGCATGGAAGACAGAAGCTGAATTACCTTTTGCTCTTCGTAAGCATCCTTCAGGCAGACATAATTGGTTACTGCCCTCATGGCTATGGGCAATTTTCCAATTGCCTTCAGATCAATAGGCTTCTTGTGAGCGGATATGATAAGTGTGTTCATCCACCAGTATGTTGCTTTTGACAGTAAATTCACAAATGGCTGAAGAAATCTCACACCCAGATCCTGGAGATCTTCAGGAGGCTTTACTTTCTGAGGATTCATGAAGAAGACATATCTCTGTAGCGGGAAGAATGCCACAGCAGGACGATTAGCCTGCCTCTCTCTACGTGTTAAAGCAAATCCTCAACTTCTTCTACATGTTCACTTATGGCAATACATATACATATATACACACACTATATATAATATATACATATATTATATAATATATATGAAGGAATCCTTCCACCTCGTTGTTCTGAAATGCCTTTTGAAATGTTTCTTGCTATCCCTGGATTAAATCAGAATTTCACATTGAAACCACTTGGAGTCAGTTCTGAAAAATGTCTTTCATTATTTTAGGACAGGGTCAAACTAATGAAGATTGTTATGATACTTAGATTTTAAAATATGTTATTAGCACCACTGTCAAGTCACTTGGTTGATTTGTGGTTTAGCTGATTTTGGCTGTATGCTGTCCACATTTATTCTAGCATCTTTCCACTCCATGCACAACATTTTGTGCTAGAAAATGAATATTGATAATCCATTCTAAGTATCTCACATGACATGACAGGGCTATGAACAGAAAGGACGATATATTTGTAACTACAGGCTGACATTGGATGCATGCCTAAAGTTGCCACTGTCTTGTTCAGGAAGGAAATGGGAAGAATACACTAGATCATCTTCTCTAAAATGGCCAACTTCGGGATACATATTTTACTTAACTCACATGAACCTTTGGCCAATCGTGGATGATGAAATCAATTTAATCTGAAATATGAGCTGTGTCTTACGGTTGGCACACGGCAGGCACTCTGTCACTACCTGTGACAGGATGGAGTCCAGTTTCACATAGATATCAGAGACATGGATGGCCTGGAGCTTAGCGATTAGTTTACGTTTACACACAGAGATCATATACATTTTTCATCCTATTAAATGGATGACTGTAATCTTCAGCGCTGAGGTCCTGAGTGACAGACAGTTACTATGCAAAAGCTGTGGGTACTTACTCTAACCCGGATGACGTTGATCTCCACAGCCATCAGCAGCCCGTTCAAAATGACCATCACACCTGTGATGCAGAAACGCAGGTCCGACACGCCCCACCCTGACTGCCAGTATTTGACCAACTTTATGGTTTTTGTAATAAAGGCCATGACCCAGTACAGGAACAAAGCTGCCAAAAGAGAAGAAAAATAAATAAATCTCTAACATCTCAATGTAAACGCAATATGTTTTAACGCACAAAATAGCCATTTGGAGATAGGATCTTGCTGTAACCCCAGCTGGCCTGGAACTCACTATGTAGATCAGGGTAGTCTGGATCTCACAGAGATCCACCTGCCTCTGCCTCCAGAATGTTGAGATTAAAGATGGGCACCACACCCATCCCATGCCCTGGGTTAAACCGAAGGAATGAGACGGGATGAGAGATGGGGGTCAAGGAGTTTCAGTCTTCTGTGTGCTGATACCCAGTTTTCCCAAGCCATTTATTGGGAGACCACCCTTCCTTCTTCTGATATGCTTCTGGTGCTTTTGTTAAGCGTCATTTGACTGTTAAGTGAGTGGAGTCACCATTGACCTTGACACTCTGTTCCAGTGGGTGTCTGTGTTGATGCCAAGGGCAGCCGCTCTGCTTACTGGAGCGTGTGGCATATTTTGACACCCTCCTACTTTGCTCTTTCTTCTTAACTTTGCTGCAATTATTCAATGTCTTTTGAGCTTCTAAGCGAATCTTAGCTAGCTCCATGGAGAATAGCATTAGGATTCTGATGGGGAGTTGGATCTGCAAAGCGCTTTGGGGAGTGTGCACACTTTAATCACACTAGTTCTTCTAATCTGTGAAAGTATGAAAAAAAAACCATAGACAGTACTTCCGTGGTGATCACGTGACAGAGGTGGAGCTAGATGAAGACATATAAATTAGTGTTCCATACATACACACCTGCACACCTACACACATGTGCCCATACAGGTGAACTTGTATAGATACACACATACCACAGTATCATACACATGATAAAAAAAGAAAGGAAGAAACATCAGAAATCATATAGTATATGATCATATTCTGATCACAATGTAATGAAATTTAAAAAATAAAATAAAACTAGATATGGTAGTAGACGTTATAATCCCAAACTTGGAAGGCTAAAACAAGTGTTATAAGTTTGAGATCAACCCAGGCTACACAGTGAAACTCTGTCTCCAAACGCCAGATAAAGACATCGTGAACAATGCTCTTTACCTTTCTATTACTGCTTAATGGACGATAGACACTTAGCAACTTAAAACAGCACCCACTTTCACAACACCGATTTCATGGGTTATAAAGCTGGGTCGGAGATCAGCTGGATTTTCTCACCAAGCTGCAATCCAAGTGATAACACTTGCAGTCTCAACAATGGCTCAGCTGATTTGGAATGCGTGTCCTTGCCATACTCTTTTGGCTAGAAGCCAAGTTTCCTACTTGTACCATGGGGAGATCATGACGCAGAACGTGCTCGTAGCATAGAGACAAAGCAGCTAACCTTTGGGTCTTTCTGAACAGTAAGCTATCTAGATGTCCCCAGATACTTAGCAATGATGCAATGCATTTCTAGTAATCCATGCTGAAGAAGAGATCCTAGAGAAATTAGAAAATATGTTGACTGAATTATAATGAAAATTCTGTCACTTAATTTTAAAATTGAGGAAAACTAAACAGAGAAAAGTTTATAGCTTTAGATATTTCATTCAGAAAATGTCCAAAATCGGGCTGGAGAAATGGCTCAGTGGTTAAGAGCACTGACTTTTCTTGCAAAGGACCAAGGTTCAATTCCCAGCACCCACATGGCAGCTAATAATCGTCCATAACTCCAGTTCCAGGAGAATCCAACCCTGTCTTCTGACCTCCACGGGCATTGCACGACACAGGTGCACCTACCTACATGCAGGCAATACACTCATACAAATAAAATAAAAATAATAAAGAAAATATTTTGAAATGTCCAAAATCAGTGATCGATGTTTCCTTAAAAGCTAGAGAAAGAGGAAAAAAGAGCAAAATGTAAAGAATGAAGACGGGGGACGAAGAGTCAAGAAATGATAAAAAACAAAAAGAACAATTGACAAAATGAACTCCCTCAAGAAAACCAACAAGGCCGATTCTTTGAAAGGATCAAAGAACACTGGTAAGGCCCTAGCTGGACTGGTCAAAGAGAGAATACAAACAACCAGTACAGACGAAAAGGGAGCTATTCCAAATACTCTGTATCTGTCAAGAGGATGACAAGGGAAAACTTTATGATAACTTATCTGAAAACTAAGATAAAGTGGCCAATTTCTCAGAACCTATGGCTATACACTTCAAATAATAAAGTCTGATACTTTCCTTAGTATTA